AATGGGTGAATGACATGTAGTATGTAAAGCACTTTGAGGGGTCTTAAAGACTGGATAAAGCGCTATAGAAGTACAGTCCATTTTACCATTTATATCACTCAGTATAAAGTTATTATGAGAGTGCTCGCATACTTGTTTGTTTCTGAAATATATATAAATATGTATGTGTGTGATTGTGTATATATGTCCACATCTGTAGCCTGTTATTGTCTCATTATACCGCACTGTCAATTCATTAAAGTATATAAGTATATATATATATATATATATATATATAATAAGTCATCATGAACACAGTTCTGTCCATCAGACAGAGTGCTGCTGTGCCTCCTGTCATCATTGATGGACGTCTCTTTAAAATGACCGCTCAGAGGAGAGGATTTCTCATTTCTCTAAACGCCTGGTGCTTCCACTCCTCTCTCCTCTGTTCCCCTCCTCGACTCCTCCGCTCGCATCTCCTGTGGGCGGGACTAAGACACGAGGATAGGAGTCGAGGAGGGGAGTCGAGGAGGGGAATTAGTGAAATGAGAAACCTTCAGAGTGAGTGCTTGTGTGTCTTCTTTAGGGTCTTCACGCCAAGTAGCTACAAGTAGTGAATTCAAACTGCAACTAGTTCAATTCAAGTGACAGTCATCCAGGTTTTACATCAGAAACACCCGAAGTGTCCCAGATAATAAACACATATAGTGGGTGAAACAAAGTGAATGAATGGGTGGCATATGTCCAGGGAGCAGACATCTTTAACGATCCCATCCCAGATTAAGTGCCTCTTGAAATCGTAATAGAACAGGAGGCTGTCTCTTTGCAGAAGAACCTGGGATATCAATATGGGAAACATATAGTACACTGCTAAAAGGGCACTCTAGGATTATAAACTACATTTTATATTTCATATGACTTGTGGTACTCGAGCAAGAACGGCAAATCAGATTCCATAGTGACATCAAAGTATTAAGTTGTGATCAATTGGTGTAGTTACCAATGAAGAGGTATGCTTGTGACAGGTATTCTGACATGCCCATTCCCTTCATTTCCTACAGCATCACTGTCATCTGGCTGAGTGAAGGTTAAAGGGACCATATTACCTGGGCAACCTTGTTAGGTACCGGCTGGAACCATCAATCAGTTTATTTATTCCTCTTTAATCAAAATGATAGGACATGAAATAACGTTTCCTGAATCAAGCTTTTGTTCTGTTGCAGTGTGTATTAACCTTTGTAATTTTGACTGATTGGGATCCGCTTGCTGTTTCGGTTACTTCCAAAGCAATGGATCAGTTCAATTAGGCAACCCCCATGCAGTGGTTTAATCCAAACAAGGAGGGGTATAAAAAGCCACTTTTGGATTGACTGTGGTTGTTTGTGGCAGCATGCTGTGAATCTGTGTTATTTGTAGGCCTGGTTGTATGCGCTGTCTCATAGTGATTTAAGGTTTATAAACCACCACCCATTGGTGCATGGACTTCTGCCTCATTTATGCCGATGAGTAAACTTAAACATATTTTGTAAGTGAGGACCAGAACATCTCTTTTCTGGGACTGACTTGTTCCTTGGCCTATTATGGTGAAACACTCTTTAGGATGTGTTAAGAAATGGCACTGGTAATAAGGAACTGCTTCAGAGATGAGGCCTGGTGTTTGTTGGAGTCTACAAGCATGGAGCTGAACTGACACCTAGTGGCTGAATGTTGCTACTCCTATATGAAGCGTCTGAGTCAGCAATGCAGAGATCTTGACCTACATTTATTCACAACATGTCACTCAGATTTACAATCTGCTTCACAGACCCTTTTTCAGATACTTCAAAAGTTCTCGCAGGCAGCACAGGGGTAATCAATAACACTAACGCGGTTGTTGTTGACTGATACACTTAAAAGACACAGAGCTATCGTTAGCAGAGATAATTACACCTGTGCTCCTCACGTTATGACAGAGCCCATCAATGTTATGAGTTACACCTGCAGATTTACTGCGAGGTCAAGCTGCTGTATATAACTATTTATATAAACTATGTACTACATGTACTTTTAGCAGTCAAAATACAAAATAATATATTTTTTATGCTACCAGGAAAAGATACATTTTCAGCAGATACAAATCAAAACTTAGTTGACAATGAATGTACAGTAACAGAGGAAGCAACATAAGATATTTTGCTGACTATTGCCACTCAATATCACCATGGATTGATACTGAAATGTTTTGTTGGACGTGTGTGCTCTCCAATTACGACCACAACATTCTTGCTATTAATACCATTTATTAAACCACAAAAACGGCGTGTGTTTGCAACACAGTCGAAAACGGTTTGCTCAATCACTTAAATACCCTGAGCCCCATTGTGCCATCTAGTGCTCAAAACAAACAAAAAAATATACAAATGGGCACAAGAATACCCAATTCTAAACTCTACCTTTACCCCAATTCCCACAACGAATTTAGTTTCCTGCTTGCAAAGCGTTGTGGGAGAATGCTGTCCATAAACAGCACATTCAAATCTAAAGTTAAGTATACTTGATTGTGTACCTTATCCAATGTGGATACAAAGTTAAAACGGTATGAAAAATTTAACTTTATAATGACCATAAAGTATCTTTGTGGTATTGTTCAAATGTGTTGCAAACACAGCAGGCATACAGAAGCAGAACACTGAGTCACCAGGTGGCCTAGATTGCTAAGAATCTCAATGAGATGCTGAAATCACATCATAGTCCAAGAAAATATAATGGTTTTACTAATGCAGCCCACATACACTGCTCCTTATACACTTCACACAGCGGGTTGTACGTACAATTAGCACCAATCTTATCATCCCACCCATAAAAAGTCTTAACTCATACAGTCTGTTCAACACTTTTTCAGATATTTCAGCAGTGTGAATGTACCAAGGGTATATATAGTAGACTCATAAGCAGGAGTTACGAAAAAGATAACATGCATGGTTGCTGTTCTATTCTGCATATTACGTCTTTCTATCAAATTTAAAATTCAACAGTATATGTACTTATGTGCACTTCCAAACACTGCCAAGTTAGCAGCATGGGTTAATGAAAGTTAAGTCTGGCAACATTTTGAGAATAAGCAGTTATTTCAATGAGCTTTTTGGTGGTTCTAGCTTCTAGTCATTTACCCTCCAGCATGGGTGGCCGGATTACCAAACTGCGCTGAAATAAAGCATAAAAAGTGTTGTACTCACTACAGCGGTGGGAGCAGCAGCCACCACGCAGTACAGGATGAGGGGGGGAATGAAGCTGGACTCCTCTGTGCCGGGGTACGGCTTCATCAGCTCGGCGTCGTTGCAGAAGAAGCCCTGCATGTGCACGCTGAACAGGTCCGTGCACTCCATGTAGTAGGCCAACAACACCGTGCCGGACATGATGACGAGCTGGAAGAAAAACATGTTGGGAAAGAGGACTTGTTAGTAGTATATCCAGTACACTGAAGTCTATAAAAAGCCCTTGAATGAGTGGTTTTACGAATGAGTCCCTGAACATCACTGTCACGTTGCTCCTCTCTTGACGTGACGTGTCTACCAGGTTTTTAAATAAAAAAACAACCGCATAAATCCACAAAAATCATCCCCCCCTTCTCTCTCTCTCCTTCTCATGCTAACTCCCTGTATACCACCATCACTTACCACCTCCTCTCCTCCCTCACCCCCTCATCCTTTTGTCCCTAACATCATCTTTTGTCTCTGGCCTCTTTTTTCGCTCTCTTTCCCAGAATTGGCTCCAGGCAATGTTGTTATTTTCTCTATATATGGTATCCTTAGTCACTGCTAACGAATCAACACTGGAGTATGCAATGCAAGGCGTTGCACTGCAAGGCTTTTTTTAAAACAGTCCTGTTATTCAGACACTAATGTGCCGGTACTGCTGCGAATCAAGCCAAGGTTTGTGTATCAGAGGAAAGGGATGAGGTGTTTGTCGAGGTTATAAAGCTGCCAGATAAAAAGAAAGGGCCGATAACATCACCACAACTGGAATGAGTAGGATACCTTAGTCACACAATGACAGTAAATGTTGAAATTACTATGATCACAGTGAAAATATGAATTAAGAAATGGATAATTACATAATTTATTTATCCTGCAAGAATAAATAAAGAATGACAATACTACAAATAGCTTGGACTGTATGTTACAACACATCAATTAGTCTTCTTGAAAACTGTGTGCTTTAAGTATTTTAATAGAAATGCTGGCAGTTTTATGAATGATTCCTGATTCTTACAATGTGGCTATAAGCTTTTTGTAATGTTTCACCCAAACACCAGGTGTCACTATGCTACCACAGAAGGATGAGCATTGCCTCAAAAGGAGGACAACACAAATCTCATGTTGTGCACAATAACTATATCATATCATGTTGAGACAATTTTAATTATTGAACATGTTTCATCAACTACAACAGTGAGTGTTTGTGGAAAAAAACTGAATGCATGTGGAGTTGAGTTTTATATAATTTCACACAATTAATAGATCTTTTTTTACTGTACAAGGCAAGACATCAAATTGTATGCTCTCTCACTACATTTCAACAAACACTGTTGATGTTTTGTGACATTACACGTCAGGGTAAATAAAACTCATTTTGTGATTTAGTTCTAGCAAGCCTCAAGTCTTGGCCCACCTCATAGGCTAGTATAATGTTATTAGCAGCCAGGGAGTACTGTGTATACACTACAGTACAGTAGCCACAAGTGACTATAGACAACTATGCTTTTTCCACACAGAGTCCAAATAGACACATGAAGACCAACCCAGTGGGAAAGAATCCTAGTTCTTTGACCCAACCATTCACCTGACCTCTTTTATACACAGAAGACGTGTTCCCAGTTTTTCCGGTGTCGAACCCTGATGCTACAGTTTACAGATACCTGTGTGTGATTTCTAAAATACATTCATTTTGCAAGAGAATAAAAACAGCTTAGGGTTTTCCAGAGTCAGATATTACCATAGAAGTAAAACACGCTAGAGTTGTTTTAATTTCTGTCAATACATGATGTCCTTTCAAATCAGGCAATTAGGACTAACTGTTGTTTGATGCAGTTGTAAACTCTATAAACCAGTGAGTGTGTGTGGAGCAGACTGGACAATATGGTTGTTGGGGTTCAGACAGGGATTGGCAGGAGGGTGAGTGTGTTTACAGAGGAGAGGAGAGAAAAGTTGGCAGATCTGGTGTTCAGACAGATGGCCATATGGAGATGTCCAGGTGTGTGTTATTGGTTTCTGTAAACACAGTAAAACACACAAATTCGTCCTGAAAAACAGCCATTTTCTTATCAAGCTAAATCATGTCTCTGCGGATATGGGACTTCTTCTGCTTTTTCTAAATTCTAATTAAAATATAAAAACTAGAAATTTGCCCAATAACTAATACAAAAAAGTATGTTTAAATATACTATTGCAGCCAAAACAGCACACAATACACTTGGATTACAACAAATGAAACATTTTGGTTACAGGCGCAAATGGGTAAAAGAAGCTTACACTGATATGGGATAATTTCATGATTTTCATGTTTATCCACAAACACGTTCCAGCAGGGTAATCGGCTAAAGCATTATTCATAGGTCTCTGCTGAAAATATGTAAATTCCTATGCTTTCAGAAATGCCATGTAATACCTTGTGGGATCACATAGCGAAGGATGTCAGGTTTACAAGGAAATACCTGAAAGGGGCTTGGGCAGATTAATAAGAGTGGAGTACACTAGCGCAGTGTTTTTCAAAGTGGGGGCCCCGACCCCCCGGGGGGCCGCTAGGGGGCGCCAGGGGGGTCACGCAAAGTTTGAGGGAAACGGAATTTTTTTTTTTTTAAAGTTTTTTAGATGTTATTAATAACTGAATATCTATCAATCTATGTGCCCTTTGATCCCAATCTTTTAATATGTTTTGTTTTTGAATCACACGACCGCCCTTCAAGCCAATCAGAATCGAGCTGCCGCTACTGAGAGTGAAACTGAGTATCTGCTCAGCTTTTGGAGCAAGTGAGAGATAGCCAATGCACAC